CCGGGTTGTAATATTTGGCTGATTTGCAGTGTGAAGATTCTTCACATAGATTAATACTACTGGTGTCTTTGGTGTTCTTTGGCTTTCACAATTGTATTGTCATGTAAATAATATTGAAACAGTGTCACAATTATGGAGGAGATTTTAAAAAACATTAAAACCATTCACATCACGAAAGACCAGAAAAGAGAAAAATGACACTTGATCGTTGACTGTGAATTTGTGAAACATTTCATGAATCTGGTAGTTTCAATAAGGCTGCATAAACATTTCAATTGGTTACCTTAAACTATACTCATCAGTGTTGTTCTATTTAGCCCTGGATTATATGAAGCTTACATAGTTGAGCTTTTGCACATCAAGGTTTAGTAGCTGCTAGTTAGGGATGCTATTATCTTATAGCAAGCATGTTTTGAATCTGAGTCGTTTTCAATCAATAAATGGTTCTGTCATTTTTCAGCTTGCGGGTGTTGTAGCGGTTGAAATTACTGGTGGACCTGACATCAGTTTTGTTCCTGGAAGAAAAGTAATATTCTATCAGCCTTTAAGATGTTATAACAGCTTACTTTCAAAAGCATTTAACTAAATTAGCTGTATGTTTCTCTCTTATAGGATTCAAATGCCTGCACCGAAGAAGGAAGACTTCCTGATGCTAATCAAGGTTGGATGAAATCTTTTTCCATTAATCACAAGCTCCAATATGTATTTTACAAACTAAAATACTAAAATTTGTATTTGAGTAGCAAATGAACTATGTGCAATGTAATCTTCCTTTTGAATGTACTCTTTCCTGAATGAGGATTTGAAGTTATGTCTGATCTTTGCATGTAGGTTTCAAACATCTTAAAGATGTCTTCTATCGGATGGGACTGTCTGATAAAGATATTGTGGCACTCTCAGGAGCTCATACTCTGGTACATTCTTTGTTGCAAATTTCAGATTTTTCGTTCGGTATAAAATAAATAAAGTGTGTATAGTGTTTTACTTAGATTTCGATGTTTAGGGAAGGGCTCATCTAGAGAGATCAGGTTTCGATGGACCATGGACTCGGGATCCTCTTAAGTTTGATAACTCATACTTTGTGTAAGATCCTCATGTAAATTATTTTTTTTTGGATACAACAAATAGTTCTTCTGACTGAGTAGTAGATTGTTTATTCTATGATCTCTGTTGGTCCCAGGGAATTGCTGAAAGGAGAAGAATCAGAGGGCTTGCTGAAACTTTCGACGGACGAGACTTTGTTGGATGTACCAGCGTTCCGTCGTTATGTTGAGCTTTACGCAAAGGTATTGTTCAAGGAAACGATTTGAACTATTAATCGTTTTGTTTCTTAACAAGTGTAAGTTTCTAACTTTTGTCCCTTACAGGACGAAGATGCATTCTTCAGAGACTATGCAGAATCACACAAGAAACTTTCAGAGCTCGGTTTCACTACACCAACTGATTCAGTCACTAAGGAGGAGACTCAGTGGATCATTACTATGGAACTAAAACTTTCAAAGCTTGGAGTCGCAGTCGTTGCTGCTGTTGTGGCCTTTAGCTGCTTCAGTGAAATCCACAAAAGGATGAAGTAAATGAGATAAGAAAGAAGAAACGATTCCTCTAACCTTCTCTCTGGATTTAATGGTTTTGTTTGAAGTCTTTGCATGCATTTATCAAGATAATATGAACTAGTTCTGAAACAACAGAAGGGCACTTTCAGTGGTTTTGGTTCGGTATATATGATTCAGATCTAAACCGGATATATCTATAGGACTATAGAGCTAAGTTTTGGTTCGGATTGATTCGGCTGCTATTCGTTTTCGGTTTTCGGATATCTAAAAAGCCATATCTTTTCAACAATCCAAGATTCTTTTGTTTTAATTGAATAACACAAAACTTTTAATGACTCTATAAAACTCTTAATCCAATAACACTAGATTTATAAAGATTTTAGATTACTTTTTATAAATCTCAAACCAATAACACCAAATTGTAATAGAGTTTTTAAAAGTCTTGATTGAATAACAACATATTCTACATAACTTTTAAACTCATTAAAAGTCTTTCTAAATCTCAAACCAATAACACCCCCTAAGACTTTTTCTGGTTTTGAGATTGGAATTTTACCTATTTGAATTGGATTGGTTTATTTCTGGTTTCTCAGCTATCTAAAAAGTAAAATATCATATCAACAAGTGAAGACTTTTTCTGGTTTATTGGTTCTACAGATTTGAATCGGTTTGGTTTTATTTGAATTCTATACCCCTAGGTCCAGTAAAAATATTTCTTCTATACTTTGGTTTTGGTATAGTTTGGTTTATTAAAGGCTCGATTAGGTTTGGTTTAGAACTTATCTCAAAGGTATAGTATGTTAAATTCGGTTTAGTTTGGTTCAGTGTGGTTGGTTCTATTTGATTTGATTTGCCTTTTGGGAACTCTATTGAGATCTATGGTTGCCTCGTACTCTACGTAACAATAACATTGAGAGCTTTTAATACATATAGCAAGTAGCATTAGTTGATATAAGATTGGTGAAAAAGTACCCACCACACCTTACAACAAAGTGGGACTCACCGGAAACCGAACCCTATCGAGGACTTGACATGGTTGGTATTGTTAGGTACGATTACGAAGCTTCCTTAGACATTTTTTGGCTTTATGTCCTTATAATTTTTTTTCCGAATTTTTAGGATAATATTTCGAGTATTATGTACTCTTTGATTGTTTTGTTTCCTTCACTCACATTTGTGTGCACATTTTAGCAAAATATGTTTTTTTTTTGTAATGAGATTTCAATATTAGTGTGTATTTTTCAATCGCAATACTTTTTTTTTTTTTTGTATAATAGTAGATGCAGACGCAACCAGCATAAAAATGAGGAGGTTAATATGGTAATTAGAAAAAGTAGTTAGAACAACTTTTAGGATATTGATTGATCGGTCTATATTGCAATGTGTCTTTGTACATTGTAATTTGTAAGGTATAAGGTCGGGCCATGACCTCTCTCTTTCATTTCAAACCACTCTTCTTTTTGCTAGTTCTATTTCTTATGTAAATTTCCCTAAGTAAAACACTAAAACGTATATATATTCTTGTCTTTTTAACCAATTTCAATATCCAAACTTCTCGTGAACTAACGACTTTGGATACTCGAAGTCTCGAACCACTTTTTTTAGAACTAGGTAATCCTTTGCACTTTGGTGAACCTACTACTTTGTATAAGTCTAGTAGTATTTTCTTGTTGACTGGATTATTCTGGACTAGGTAAAGGCAAACATGGGAAATAAATATGAAATCATGATTTTAGTTTTTCGAAGATTTATTATAGAGAAATACTCTAAAATACCACACTTAAATTTTCGTTCCAAATATACCATCACTAGTTTATTTTCCCAATAATACCACAAATTTTTATAAAAATATTTGTTCAACCAAAATAAATTACAAATCAAATTTAAAAATTATTTTTTGGGTTTCCTATTTTCAACTTACAGTTTCTATTTTTACCGTTTACAATTGATTCATTTTAAGATTAAAAATTTGTAGTATTTTTAGACAAAAACAAAACTATTGATTCTATTTTTAGAAAAAAAACTTTAAAATTTGGTATTTTAGAATATTGCATTTATTATATTGGATACTAATTTATATGTACGTGACATTCTTGGGGTTTTCTTTATCATGCATGTTTGGTTTGAAAGATCTTGTTCGAGTTTTTTCATGGATATGCTTCATCGAGCTACTTTTCTCATTGATCAGGATCAGACTATTTCTAATATTTGAAATTAATATCACCACATTTCAAGCAACAATAGGTGAATATTGTATATTAAAATTGTACCGTCAATTACGAACCGAACTTGAGCTTGCTTAACATTTTAAAACTGACATTAGTTTAAATATGCGGACGTATTACGTATATCATATGATAAACTATATGTTTATCTTTTAGGTTCAAAGGGATTGGTACTTTTAATAAGATTGAAGGGCTTAATTTAACTTATCAATCAAGTCTTGTCCTAACAAATTCATTAAAATAAGTAAAACAATATTTGAACAAGCAATCTAAAAACGCAACCAATTAAATTAAATAAACATAACCTTTTCATCCAACAAACCATTTTTTAGCCCATCAATCAATCATTTAGAATTTAGAAAAATGAAAAAAGAAGAGTTGGAGTTATGATAATAAATAATTTTGTATTAAATGAAGTTGGACTATTCATCAACAAGGCGTCACGTATGGGCACATAGGGCTTGTTCCAACAAGATGATAGTGATATATATGAGTTTGGTACAACATTGATATTCTAGAACACCTACTCTCTTTTTATTGTGTATGTACTTATCTATTTGTATTTGTGTTTTATATATTTTGAGGATAACAATCGGTGACACGTGGTTGCAATTATTAAAAAATAAATTTCAAAGGTGTAATGGTGTTAACAGATATTGTTAATTTTCTTTAAAATATGTAGGATTTAAGTATGTATATTATTATTATTATCAAGTAATAACGTTTTCGTTCTCGTCGATCTTCCAAGTAGTAACGTTTTCATCTCTCTCTATAAACAAAATTATGTTAATCCCACAAATTCAAACTATAATAATATATCCTTTATTTTTCTTCTGTCAAAACAAACTATCCGTACTTATATATCCCGCTAATACGTAAGATGGTAACTATTTATTTTTGTTATAACGGTAAGAAATGAGAAAAAGTGGTACTAAGAGATTTCAAAGTTGACGATAAAACAGTTCACTTATATATATTTCTATATAAAATATTGATCACACAAAACGGTATAATTTTTAGTTGATGTTTAGCAAAAAAAAAATTTTAGTTGATAGAAAAACGGTTAACAACAGTAAAAAACGGTACAAACAATTCGAAGATAACGTTTTTGTCATTAATAATTGTTAAAACGGAATATCCCAGGCCGTGTAATACAAGGTTACTAATCAAACCCGATGTTGTTTTTGTTAAACCGCAAATTTTGTAGTGTTTCATATGTTAAGATTTGATATATTAAGAGGAAAACAAAAAGAAAAAGGTTTAAAATAATGAATAATGTGAATGTGGGCAGTTATAGTTTGATGTAAAATAAAAGATTAAACAAAAATCAAGAGCCCCACCAGCCACTCCTTCAAACGTGTCCTACCAACTCTCTTCTAGAAGCAATTAGGCTCACCTTCCACCTCCAACACCTATCTCTCCTTCTCTCTCTCCATAAAACCCTCAACAACAGAATCAAAAGCAACATCTTCATCATCATCAGAAGAAGAAGAGAGCTATGGGAAGATCTCCTTGTTGCGAGAAAGAACACATGAACAAAGGTGCTTGGACTAAAGAAGAAGACGAGAGACTTGTCTCTTATATCAAGTCTCACGGTGAAGGTTGTTGGCGATCTCTTCCTAGAGCCGCTGGTCTCCTCCGTTGCGGTAAAAGCTGTCGTCTCCGGTGGATTAACTATCTCCGACCTGATCTCAAAAGAGGAAACTTTACACATGATGAAGATGAACTTATCGTCAAGCTTCATAGCCTCCTTGGCAACAAGTAAGCCCCTTATGCTCTGTTTCTTGAAAACTTATGCTCTGTTTCTTGAAAGCTTTTGCTCTGTTTCTTGAAACTTATGTTGTGTTTTTTTTTTGTATCAGGTGGTCTTTAATTGCGGCGAGATTACCTGGAAGAACAGATAACGAGATCAAGAATTACTGGAATACACATATAAAGAGGAAGCTTTTGAGCAAAGGGATTGATCCGGCTACGCATAGAGCGATCAACGAGGCGAAAGTTTCTGATTTGAAGAAAAAAGAGGACCAAATTGTAAAAGATGTTTCTTTTGGGTCTAAGTTTGAGAAAATAGAAAAGTCTGGGGACAAGAAGCAAAATAAGCATATTAGAAATGGGTTAGTGTGCAAAGAAGAGAGAGTTGTTGTTGAAGAAAATATATGCCCAGATTTGAATCTTGAGCTTAGGATCAGTCCACCATGGCAAAACCAGAGAGAAATATCTCCTTGCACTGCGTCCCGTTTTTACATGGAAAACGGCATGGAGTGTAGTAGTGAAAGTGTGAAATGTCAAACAGAGGATAGTAGTAGCATTAGCTATTCTTCTATTGATATTAGTAGTAGCAACGTTGGTTATGACTTCTTGGGTTTGAAGACAAGAATTTTGGATTTTCGAAGCTTGGAAATGAAATAAATGAATAGAGAAAGATAATTTTTAGGTGTGATAATGTTAGATTCTTAATTTTGCCATTTTTTACTCCATCTTTGTTTTCCCTTTGTTTCCCAACATTTGTATATTAACTTGAAATTTTCAAATCAGATTTACCGTCTCATATGAGTTCAGTTGTTTTGTATTTACCATTTCAGTAGTAAAGTAAATATTTTGTAAGTACGTAAATTATGATAGGTTAGTATTAATTTGAGATGAGTTAATAATTCGTTGATTAGAAGTTTAAGTAGACTATTATGAGAATTAATGTTGCTATAAGAATAAGTACCGCGACAAACAAGTCAAAACATCTAGACGAAAAAAAAGCACAATCGTTGCATCGGGAATCCCGTTTTTCTCTCTCGCTTGGTGAAACTTTTCTAGATCTAGGGTTTTGATAAATCGAGCTTCAACGTAGGTGGCGGCTCTGCAAAAATGGATCAGTGGTGAGCGAAACTCTTTCTCCGACAACCGTGGTGTGGTTTATTCTTCTTTCGAGGTAACTGTGGCTCCGGTTGGGACGGTTGAGAAGCTCTGGTGCTGTGGCTCTCCGGTTGAGGACGCTGGAAGGTTTGCCTGGATGTCTTCTCGCGGCTCTGCCGTTCTTCCGGTCGCTGCGGCTACGGCGGAACTCGGAGGAGAATTGGAGGGTTGGTTTGTTTTGTCTGGTGGTTAGCTGCAGATCTTAGATCTTAGAGGGCTATCGCAGGTTACGGAGTCGGGATGCTTGTCTGAGCCATCGGCGCCTGGATTCGCTGCGGTTTCGCATCCACCGGACCGGATCGAAAGTTTTTTTTGTTCTGGAGGTTTGAAGATGTTCGGAACTGGATTGGAGGGGTTTGGTCCCAGTGCGACAGATTGCTCGGTCAGGATCTATCGACGTGGAGCCGGTCAGTCGGAGAGTCAAGTTTTCTGGGAGGTTTGTAGCGGGATTGGCGAGTCGGCGGTGAGGATGCTTCATCGGAAACCGAATTCTTTCAACGGTGTGTTTCAATCCTCCTTCTATGTCGCAAAGCTGTGAACCTTGAATTCGCCAGATCTAATGCTACTGACTTTCTGCTACCGGTAATCAACAAGATCCGAGCCTCCGTTTTAAGTTTTCCGGCGTCATTTTCAGATCTCTGTTTTGTAACTGATCCAAATTTGTATGGGCCAAAGGCCTGGCCCAATTGGGATTTCGAAATAATAATTTTATTAAAAAAAAAAAAAAAAAAAAAAAAAAAAGAAAAAAAAAAAATAAGTACCGCAAGACCATGTGTTCCTATTATTAGGGATCACATCGAAAATTTGACAAAGATTCTTACAGCATATAAGATATATGGACTTATCCACTTATTGTCGGTTGGTTTTGAGTTGGAAACCCATAATCATATTTCTGAGATCAATGTGTATTTTGATAAAAATCATCAACACGTTATTTTCCATCAGGCATCATGTAGACTTAGCTATCTGACATACAACATGATTTAGAACTTGTAAATTCCTAAATATGGTTATAATATACGATAGGATTTATAACCATATTTTGTCTAGTGCGGACGCCGGAATCTCTGACGGCGCCGGTGGTCGCAGCTAGGATAAAACTTAATTTTGGCTTTGATGTGGCTTTGTGGGCTTAGTGGGCCGGTGGGCTCTTCTACGTTTATGGGCTTCTTCCTCGGTTGGACTTGGTATCTTTTTTGGTTTGGGCCTTTTATTGTTTGTGTGTTTTAATTTATGTCTTTATTTTATGTATTTGTATCTACCTAAGATCCTAAAAATATCAGTAAATATGAAAACTTTTTGACAAAAAAATAATAATATATACTAGATTTGAACCCGCGGTACACCGCGGGGTTATAATTATTTTTTAAAAAATCTAAATATAATTATTTTTGTTTATTAATAAAGAGTATACTATAATATTTTGACCTATTTTATAAATGTACCATCTATATGTCTATATTAATAGTTTTGAGTATATTAATTGTGTTTTAGGTTTAAATGGTATATCTATATATACACTTAAACGACATTTGGTTTTCTTCTTCTTCTTGCCTCAGTTTAGGAGAAAGATTTTTCTTGCGGTACACCGCGGAGCTATTATTTTTTTTAAAAAAATTTCCTTCCTTAAACTTCCAAATCTAGATTTTACCCCGCGGTACACCGCCGGTCGATTTTTTTATAACTAAAAAATTATTTTGCAAAATTTTAAGTTGTATTTGTTTTGTTAATATTGTTTATTTTGTTTAGTGTTTCTGATTTTATAATTAAATTTTGATTTTTAATTCTAGGATTTTATCCATAGTATATTGTTTAATATTAATATTGATCTAAACCCGTTGCACCATATAACCCCGTCCCGTAAAATTAAACATCATTTGTTATTTTTTTGAATAATATTTTTATCCACTACGGGTCGCAGGTTCATGCGGATAAGCCCGTAGAGAGTTGCGGGTTTGCGGGTCGACCCGCCAAAAGAGAAGCTATCTTTTGAAACCCTTTGTTTTGTTTAGAGTTTTAAGAAAATATCCCTAAAAATAATTTTCATTATATAAAAAAAAAAAGTAGAAAAAATTGTAGTATCAACATTCCCGATTTTTACATCACTCGTTACAATTATTTTATTTTTTTTGCAGATAAAAATCAGAAGTTAACTAAGTCGAGATCTTTAAAAAGATTGAGTAGAGATTTTTGGTAAATTGTTGAGAACATATTTGATTTCAAAATCTTTACTCAAATAAAATAAATCTAAATAATTAATGCTAATGGCATGTCATTGTAAATACTTCTCAACTTCAGGATTTATTTGCTAATTGTGATCCAAAAATGTATATATAGATACGATATGATTTAACGTCTAGTCTCTGCATCTAACAGTTAGTAGATCTTGTAGTCATTTTAAATTCTTTTTTTCAAGCATTTTTTTTATCCGGTTTGCTTGATCAAGATTCTGACCATTTCTCTAAAAAAAATTTAGGGGGTGTTATTCAATGGTGGAGTTAAAGTCAATTCTTTAAGGTTTAGATTTGTTTTCTGATATTGGTTTTAAGAATCTGTTTGTGTGGATTTCAAAATCTCTGCATTATATCTTGGATTTTGATTCTAATAATTTACTCATGAAACTCCAAAGAGGTTTCATTTGAAATGACTTAATATACAAAGATTTTACAAGTCTTTTAGTTTTGAATAACACTGGATTTTACAAACCTTAAAGAATTGACTTAACTCCACCATTGAATAACACCAAATTTTTAAAATCTAATGAAGTATAAAATCTAATAACACCAGATTTTAACGTTCGAATTATAATCATTAGTTGAATAACACTGAATTAGTGTTGGATTTCAATTCTATTAAAATTCATCATTGAATAACACCACCTTAACCATCCATGTGTTACGTAAAAGAGAAATTAGTGTATAGTGTAAATTATATCTTTAATTGACCAATATGACGTAACCAATGAAAGTCTTAACAATTTGATTACTTTTTAAGAGAAAGGTTTTCAAAATCATTCATAGCTAGAATTAATATCCTTTTAGTATGATTTTAATCGTGGTTGGCCATAGTGAACATTTTAAATGACAAAATGCTTAATTTTCTATAGAGATTAGTTAGGGAATATCCTAGTTATTACAAAATTTCAATTTATTTATTTCTCTATGCTCACTTCTAGAAGCTTGAGATTTTTCAAGTAATGATAAGTTGTGTGAGGATGAAGTGGTTGGATGGTACATGTTTCAATTCATTACTACATATTTTAAAGACTTTTCATCGATCATATCTGGGATTTCCGTTGGATTTTAGCAAATAAAATTTTATAATAAATTTTATAATAATAATTTACATTATTTCAATTCCGGTTTTATCTTTTTAGCACATGACAATGATAATTTCAATCCAATTTTCTGTCTTCTTTACCCTCACTCGCGAGAATAGAGAAGCCCAAATTTAACTTCATTTATATTCATCTTTGTCTCATATTTTCTCTCTCTCAAAACATTTCTCTTAGTCTCGTCGTCTTCTCATTTTCCTCTTCGAGAACTTGTTTTTGTTCCGACGAAGTACATAATTCCCGCCGTTGTCACAATTAAGTCGCCGTCTCAAAGCGTCTTCCTCTCTAATTCGGTAAGCCGGAGGGTAAAATTTACACGAAGTTTTGTTTCTCGATTTCTTTTGTTTTTCCGATCTTATCACCCATCGTTTCAATTGTTTCACTCTAATTTCGACTGGTGTTTTCCAATCTTAAACTCTAACTTTTCTGTTAGGCCTCTCCAAATCCATTTGTATCTCTACTTATTTTACTTAGACCTACATTAGACCTACATATAGACACTCATAATTTCCTGTGGATCTCCATTTTTAACTTTCATGTTGTTATCTCCCCTTCGTAGATCTAATTTTTTTGCAGGATGGCTGATATGGAGCTTCCTTCTCGTTTATTTGCCGACATAGAAGAACCTGCCGGTGATCGTCTCATAGTGTACATGTTTAATGTACATGTATACATAGATCCAATAACTTAACACTATAATTATTTTTAACGCTCTATATATGTGTTTACATATATACTTTTTGCAACACAGCTGCATGCATATTTATTGGGTGTCTATTCCATTAGGTTAGTGGTTTAAATTTTCAAATTCTCGCTCAACAAGTTGCGTTATAGATTCAAAATTAAGAGATTCGAAGACAGTCCGTCAGTTTGCATTTAATACAAGTCTCCTCCTTCTTTCTATGGCTGCGTAAATATCACTTCTACAACAGAGCATTTAATAACTGTCATTTTATTTTTTTCCCTCCCCAAAAGTCAATGGCGCTATCACACGCGCATGAAGTCTGTAACTAACTGGTTTTTCTGTAATTCTTTTAAAGTTGAAGGCTATTTAGTAACGCTTGATTTTTTGTTTGTCTGGGACAAAATTGCCTATTACCAATTAGCTAATTAGATGTCCCGTTTTTATCTCTGCACAAATTCACTCTAAAATATATGTATATGTATAGACCTTTCATACGATATCGTCAACATCATACGTCTCCATTCAGAACTTTAATATATGAATTTGAGTGTGAATAAATTTTATGGAAACAAATTTTTTTTCTTCATCAAATTTATAATATAATAGTTAAATGTTTGCGAAC